TATGTATGTATGTATGTATGTATGTATGTATGTATGTATGTATGTATGTATGTATGTATGTATGTATGTGTGTATGTGGCAGCGATGTTATATCTATCAACCAAGATAGTATAAGTATGTCTTTAGTATAATATTCTACGCTTCTTCCTGCAATTCTGTTGCTGAAAAATCGTATACGCCTATTTAACAATAGAACAGCAGAAGAATTGGTATGGCTCGGAAGATCAGAAAAATTGGCTCGAATCTTCTCGTGTTGCGCACGAAGGGTTACCCATTCGTTAGAATCCTTTGGTACTGGAATGCATTTAAAAATAGCATTGTGTTCAACTATCTACTTGCTATCTCTTATCTTCAATCTTTTCATTATGTCATGCTTAACAGAGTTGCACAATGAGTAAAGGCACCCATGTGAGCAGCTAAGGTTTCTGGATGGGTTCAGTGTGCTCGTAAGGTCACGAACAGTTCGAAGTGTTCCAAACAACATCGCGTGATTGAACGTAGTTGTGTAGTTTCCACTTTTCCAGGAAAACATGTGCCACGTGCGGTGTTCGTAGACCTGGAGCCGACCGTGGTAGACGAGGTGCGTACAGGAACCTATGCTAAGCTCTTTCATCCGGAGCAGTTAATAACCGGTAAAGAAGATGCCGCTAACAACTATGCTCGGGGCCATTACACCATTGGCAAGGAGCTCATCGACGTGTGCATGGATCGAATTCGAAGTCAGTTGCTAATAGAAAATGACAAATCAGTGAGATATCCGTGTAAAGATCTAGAGTTTTTTTTAGCGTGATTAGGTCCGTAATAGTGAAATCATCTGTGCTAGTACTAGTGAAAAGCTACAGTAGCAGTAGAGATAAGAGAAACGGTCTCAGAAGTTGGTCAAGTCAAGCATACATTTCACACCTGCAGCTATAATATGCATGTATCACGAGAGGATTCTTCGTTTAATTCAGCAACTGAACAGCGAGATCGTTTCGAAACATTAAGGGCTCACGGAACGCTGTGCGTCTCTACAAGGGTTCCTCATTTTCCACTCGTTCGGTGGTGGAACTGGCAGTGGTTTTGCTGCCTTGATGATGGAACGGTTGTCTGTCGATTTCGGAAAGAAAGCGAAGTTAGAATTCAGCATTTATCCAGCTCCATCTATCAGCACTTGTGAGTCTAATTATTTATTGCATGTTACGTGATAATCTTTTATTATTTCGCTACTATGTGACTGACGCTTTGAAAATGGCAGCGTTTCAGATCAATCCTAACAAGCGTTGCTAGGGCAAAACCATCTCGAGTAAGATCGCATATTCTAGAAACATTTTTAATTTTCTATGTTTTTCTCGAGTAAAATAGTGGTATAGTATATAGTTCATATTAGGTATTGCTACAAGACTTGCAATCCCGCTTAGGCTTTATATCCAAAAATCACACGTCAAACGTAAAGTGGATAGAGACGTAGACGCTCCCAATGAGTGCGTAATTATCATGAACATTTATATTTTGAATTTAGCATGGATTAACTGAAGGAGATCGCGTTTCATCTGTAAGAGATTGCCTGGGGAAAGGTGATCAAATAGAAAAAGCTGCCTTATCAGAAAAATGATAGGTGGTGTAGTGGCAAGTGGCGCACTATATCACACGCACGGTCAGGGGTTCGAATCCCGGATCGATGTCCGCCTAGGCCAACCAAGCCTTCCATCCCTCCGGGGTCGGTGAATTGGTACCAGACTCGTCTGGGAGGATAAAAGCACTGACTTGTACATCGGCTGGCCACCGCAAGTCATTGTATAGGCCACATACGCACTCATTACGCCACTACGATTCTGAATGGAAGTCGAGTGCGGGGGCGCATCCCTCAGACGGGATTGATTAACGCCAAAAAACTTTATCCTTTATCCTCATCAGAAAAATGAAACTGTCGCGTGCTGCCGCATGCTCGCTTTTATTCGACAACTGTTGTCTTCGCTGTCCTATCCTCAAATCAACAGACTTTGTCTATGATATCTCCTGAAGAGAGCTGTTATTACGAGTTTTATTATGAGTATCTGGTATTTCATCCCGCTCCTTCCTTGCATAACGAAGGTGGACTACGTAACGGAATGATTTGAAATCGACTAGTTTGGCGACAAGCCGACTCTTAGCTTTTCACTTCAGGGATGTCATATGCTACAGAGGAAAACTACCATCATAACGTAAGAAATAGGGACTTCTAAGTAGAATAAGTAAAGA